AGGGTGACTCGGCGAGTAGGGTTGACCTGGAAGGTTGACTTTGACCAGGACTTTGACTTTGGACCAGGGTGGACTTGATTGTCTTTCGGGGGTCAGTTAGACTCAGTGTTGCATTGATATTGGTAGTTCGGGGAGCAAGGGGAGCAGGAGTTCCGTGAGTTGTCGGGAAGCAGCTAGTGAGATCATCAACAAGTTCAGCCAGTTCAAGTGAGTTTCTCTTTGTGTGAATGGGTCTAAGGCCACAATGCCGGCCCATGTAGTTATGAGTAGAAGACCTGGGGGTTAGCCCTAGGCATAGTATGCTAGCATTGTTTGCAGTACGAGGTCCAGTAATAGCGGGCGGGTGCCCAAGGAATTGTTTATATATGATAGTTTATACTTGTTGTCTGTGTGATACATGTATGTACCTGGTAGGGAGGTGAGTGTGGGCGAGGTCCCGAATCTCACCAATAGCAGAGTGTGGATGGGGTTCCATATCTCACTAGTAGCAGATTAGGGGCGAGGCCCGAATTAGAACAGGAGTGAGAGTGGGCTAGGCCCGTACCTCACTACCATTAGGAGCATGGATGGGGTTTCATGACTCCTCAGTAGCAGGACATGGGCGAGGCCCAGGAAAGGCGAGGCCTTAGGACAGAACCAGTTGCATGTGTTAGTTATGTGTTATGAAATGTTTATGTGTTATTATTTGTTGATGGGCGAGGCCCTGTGACAGGCGAGGCCTAAGTAAAACAGATCTGTATCCGAGCGGGGCTCGAAGCCAGGCGGGGCCTGGAGCGGCGGGGCTGTTGTAGCGGGCGAGGCCCGAGGTAAGGGGGCGAGGCCCAAGATAGGGGGCGTGGCCCAGTATGTGCAGTATGTGGTTATGCATGGTATGTGGTAGGGTGGGGAACTCACTAAGCTTCGTGCTTACGGTTTTCAGTTTTGGTTTCAGGTACTTCCGGTAGTGGAGGAAAGAGCTCGGGGTGATCGCATGGCACACACCATAGATTAGACAGCCTGGGGATGTTTACTCTGATAACGAACATATGTTTTGAAAACTTATACTCATATTATGTTTTGGAATGATGATGTTACTTTAAGTAATGACTTATTAAAGAAATTTTTGGTTTTGGTCTTAAATTTTGGGTCGTTACACCTAACATACTTGAAAAGACTATACCACACTTATTTATTTCTTATTTGTTTATTATGTATCGGATTAAAAAAAAAGAGTCACACCCCACCCTTACCCACCCCTACCCTATCTACCCACGCAATCCCTTCTTATCGAGATATGATACAACCATCTATTATCTTTTTTCTTATATTTAAAACCCTAAACCACTTAGAGAGTGTTTGAGATTTCATTTTGATCATCAAAAGGACTTTTAGACAAAAGAATTTATCGCCTTATGGTGGTAAGAAACTGAGCTTTTAAAAAATGTTTAGATTAGTTTTTGTGGTGGAAAAAAGTCAATAAGTCAATAAGGTATCTTTTTTTTTTTAATTTCTCTTAGCTTAAGGGTATTTTAAGGTAATATTGATTTTTACAACTCAAAAAATCATTAGAAGTTTTGAAAAGTTACAAATTCTAAGTTCTTAAAATCTCCTTATTAAAGGGTTAAGCAAAGTTGTTTTAAAGTCTCTTTCTTTTAGCCAAACATTTTTTTTTTTACTTATTAACTTTTCAAAAAAAACAATAAATTAGTAAGTTGGTTTGAGATGAAATCCAAGTCACCCTCTTAGATCGTCGACATCGGATCTTCTACACCACCAACGACAATCACATCTTCTAAATCATCATCATTTTTGTTTATTGTTGCTCAAATGAGGGGAAGGTGGTCTTTTTCTACTTGATTTCTACATTGATGCTCCATTGCTACTCGATTTCAGATCATCCACCATTGTCACCAAACCCATAGTCCCTAAAATTGATTTTGCATCCTCTTGATCCTCATCGTCTTCATCCTCTTGGCTCACCTTTTTTTTTCTTTGGTTTGAAATTAGTAATGTTTTTTCTACTATGATTTTTTTTTAAATCGATTAAGCTTTTTGAAATCAACATAGGTTGGAATGTAAAATCGAAATCAAGTTAATTTTGAGTTTTAAGTTTTAATTTCAGTCTCAAGGTTTAATTTCAACATTTTATTTGAGCATCGATGATTCATGATGATTCATTGTATATGAAGTTAGGATCTAATTACTAGTTTCATTTTTTTATGTAGAATTTTGGGTTTTCTTGTTTCAACATTTGATTTAGCATACATTTGGTTTTTTATTGGGATAGTTACTAAACTAGTCATTTTTACTAATTATTTTTTAGTTTTTGGCCAAAATTAAGCCATTAGCCGGAAATAGCCTCCAAAGATGTAGACTTCGAAATTACCTACGATCAAAGGCTGTTTGACTACGGTCAAAGGCTGTTTGACTACGCTTTTAGTGGGCTACCTACAGTTTGGTAGGCTAGCTATTGTTTTGCGGCACAAATAGCCTAGAATATATAAAGTTAAAAAATTTATTTTTTCTCATTTTGTGTGTATTTCAAATCCAAAATTCTCTCTCAATGGAACCTTCAAAAAACAATCATGTGTATCGTTGAATCTAGAACCTTTTTTATGTTTATCTTGTTTAATAGGGTTGCTTGTATAAGCGTTTTTTTTGTGGAAAAAAACAAAAGTAAATAAATAAATTGAAACCGTAGGTTCCTAAGAAACCTACGGTGTAGAAGCCTTCAATGCACAAAACGTGAATTAAATACTTGTAAACCGTAGGTTTCTTTTGCACCTACGGTTTCTATAAAAAAAATGTTTTTTTTTTGTTTGTAGCTTGTATAAAACTTCATGTACAACGCATTGTAGTGATTTTTGTTAAAAAAAATCATAGATTTGTTAAGAAACCGTATAGTGTTGAGAGGATGCCGTAGACCCCACCCAAACATGGTTACATGGCTCTATTTAAATATACGCGATGTTAAAAAATAAGATATTTTTAAATAATCAAGCTTCAAAGTATTGTTTGTGATCAACTACATCTTCCGGAAGTAAAGCTTTGTGTGCAAAGGCATAAAGCAAAAACATACAAACATAAATTTAATAGTAAGATCAAACTCCTAATTTAGTATATATCAAGACTAAATCAAGTTCTAACCTATTGGTTTTGTATTTATGAAATTATATGTGAAAATGATTACCTTTACTTTTTAAACAGTTTTAGTTGAAAACTTTGTTGATATTGAAGTGATTTTGAGTAATCGGTATTAGAATTTGTTTTAATTTATGGATTTATAACAATTTTCTATGAAAAACATTGTTTACCTTGAAGTTATGCGAATGTTATTATTATAAAAAGATAATATGGTAATTTTAACGTTTTTTTATGTTCTTGTTTTTATTTTACCAGACGTTATACACAATGTCTGTCTAGTCTATTATAATCCAGTTTCCTTCCGTCTCATCCAATCCACCACCTAATGCTCACCATATATTGAAAGAGAGGTTAGGATAAAGCTCGGCCGAGTTAGAATAATATTATTAAAAACATGCTACTTATTATTGAATTGATTTTATCTATAGATTTTAAGTTTAGGTCATTTTTTGTCACTTAACTTTTGGTTTTGTATTCATTTGGTCACTTCAATATTTTTAAGTTTTAAAAGGTTATCAAACTTTTGATTTTGTACTCATTTAGTCACTTAACTTTTGGTTTGGTCACATTTAGTCAGCTAACTTTTAGATTTGTACTCATTTAGCCACCTAACTTTTAAAATTGTGCTCATTTAGTCACTAAACTTTTAAAAAAATTAAAAGTTTAGTGACTAAATGAGCACAATGTTAAAAGTTAGGTGACTAAATGTGACAAAACAAGAATTAAGTGACTAAAGCACAAAGTTAAAAGTTCGATGGCCTTTTAAAACTTAAAAAGAGTTAAGTGACCAAGGGGGTGTTTGACAAAAATAGTTGTTAGCTGGAAGCGAGTAACGGTTAGCTGGTAGCGGATAGCTGGTAGCAGGAAGCTGTAGCTTTTATTTGTTATATGAATGTTTGGCAAAAGTAGCTGGAAACTTTTGAAATATATAAAGTTACATAAAAGGACAATTGATTAAAAATAAATAAATATATAAATATATTTTTAAGGGTAATTATGGAAATTGATTTCAAAAGCTCATGACTGTTTTGTTAAACGCTACATGAAGTAGCTTTTAGAATCGGAACATTTTATTAAAACTAAAAGCTAAACACCCGTACTAACAAACGAAACTTTTGTTTAAACTAGAGAGTTTTATCAAAAGCTAGAAGCTAGAAGCTCCGAACGCTTCCAAAAGCTCCGTACCAAACACGCCCCAAATAAACACAAAACTAAAAGTTAAGTGACCAAAAATGACCTAAACCCTAGATTTTAATAATCCGACCACAAATTGTTTTTGTCTTTGTAATATATAAACTTTGTTCTTTCATTTGTAATATATCCATGCCTCCTCTACACCGGTTAGGATGTTCCATCTCACATTTTCTGTAGAACCTCAATTTCTCTTAATGTCTAATAAATCGGTTAAGTTTATAAATCATTAGTTTATTGTTCCTTTTTCTAATTTTCTTCTACAGCCTGTGATTTTATGTTATGATGGCGCTTGATTGATTACAAAATCCTTACAAAGGAAAAAGGATGTGAGCTTGAAACCTCGATCTGTTCTTGCCTGCATCATAGTTTTTCGTTTGGTTCATTTTGAGATTTTCAACACTTAATTCTATATTTAGGCAATAATTCTAGTCATATATATTTATTAATAATAGTGATGATAAAATTTAAAAAAAATGTGATAATATAATATTATATACTATAAAATAATACATCAGCAATACATGTTGACGATTTCTTAGGTTGACTATGTAGCTTCAAATATTGGAGTGACGTTGAGCTCATCTCTATCATTTTGAAGGTTGACTGTGAAGCTTCAATATCATTCATAGAACAACAATTGTAACTTTTGTTTCTCCTTCTTCATTTGGTTTTGCATAATAAATATGTTGGCGGTGACCGGAAAGGGAAAGGAATCTCAACCATCCACCTCCTCCTCCTCCATAGAATGGTTACAACCATGTCGTCACTTTAATTTTTTTGAGATTCTCATAGCAACCGATAAATTCAATGAATCATTAGTAATTGGGCATGGGGGATTTGGAAAAGTTTACAAAGGAAACATTATCAACGGATCAAGTGTCACCATTGTTGCCATTAAACGATTGGATTCCATGTCGTCTCAAGGAGCAACAGAGTTTTGGGCAGAAGTTGAGATGCTTTCCAAGTTACGCCACTGTCACCTTGTGTCTTTGCTTGGTTACTGTAATCATGAAAAAGAGATGATCCTGATCTATGAATATATGCCCAATGGAACACTCGAAGACCATTGTTGGTGATTTGTTATCCTCAATATTTTTTTAAGTGTAATGGGATTACTTTGTTGACCAAAGGTGATCTTGATAAATATTAAACAAGTAAGGAAGGTGTGGAGTACACACTTGTTTAAGTTTGATCAAGTTTTCAAAGTACACTGTCATTTAGGGGGGAAGCCCCTAAACGAACGGGGGTCCGGGGGCAGTGCCCCTAGGAGCGGAGTCCAAGGGGTGGCAGCCCCTGTCGAGCTGCCAGGTCAATGCGGAATTTTTTTTATATAGGGTATGTTGCTATATAAAAAATGCATCAGAAAAACGTATTTTCAGATAATTAACCATTGTTTGACCCTTATCCAAACTTTCGTTTTATGTCAGTTTTTACAATTTATGACAGTTTGAAACTGTCATATGACAGTTTTCAGACAAAGATCATAAATTCGTTTTTGGTCTCATTTTCTGGTACAACGAAATAATCATCAAAGCATTCCAAGTTCTTGTCCCTCTGAGTCTTATCCGATTAAAGAATATTGGGAGTACCACCCAAATGCTTTAATCTGAAAGTGTTTTACACAATTCTCAGAATTCCAAGCCTTACTATACCCCAAATCTAACAACCACCCCCATAAACTCCATACCCCTCTTTCATGGCTTCAACGACTCAACATCTGTATAGGTACTGCTCGTGGGTTAGACTACCTCCACACTGGAACTGGGATCGAGTTTGGTGTTATACATCATGATGTCAAGAGCTCAAATATTTTGTTACATGAAGTTGTGGTCACTCTTGATTCTATACAAAACTTGCAACAGAAAATTAATAGTTCCTCACAGACTAGCAAAACAATATTTCGAAGAATGCTAGATGTCTTTCCCTTCAATGGTGAGAGAACCCTGGTATTTCAAGCTCCTATTGAATTGTGTGTATAGATTCTTTAAATTTTGCGTATCCAACTGTGCATGCATTAGCTGAAAATTACTAAAATTTTAAAACACAACCACTATACATTTAGAACATGAAAAACATTGGAAATTAAACCCTAGTTATGATAAAGTTATAAAATCCAATCATCTAGCCCTAATTAGCATCAATTCATATTAGTAATGAACAATGACTTTTGATCAACATGTTTGTCGGGTTTTGATGCTAGGTGTAATAGGAATCATACTAAAACTTTCGTTGGATGTTTGTTGATTTAGGTTCTTAAGAACCATTTAGGTTTTCTAATAATTTACCTAAGTTCTATTAATGATAAAAATAGTTATATTTAAAAAGGAACCATTTAAAAGGGAAATAGATAGGTGAACTATGTATAAAACAGTTGAATGCTAATATTCAGATATATATATTGGGATAGGAAAGACAATTGATATATAGGGTATTAAATTAATGAAGTAAATAAGAACTACTGTATAGTGGTGGGGGACTGGGGGATTTGAAATAGCAATTATATATTCTGTTTCTATTTCAGCCCATGATGATTCAAAGCTATCAAGTAATAGCAAGGGTAAAATTAGAAGTGATGGTGATAATGTAAAGGATGAAGAAAAATGTTTCACAATTCCTATTCCAAGTTTGAAAATATTTAAGTTTAGCGATTTGGAAAGGACTACAAGCAACTTTAGTCAAGAGTGGCTCATCGATAGGGATGGTTTTGGCGAGGTGTTCACAGGTTGGGTTGATGATAAAACGTTTGCCCCATCAACAAGGTGTGTTGGAATTTTTGTTGCTGTTAAAAGGTACTATAAAGGTCTTCGAGAATCAGAGGTAAGTATCAATAAATATATACATTATTATGAAAGCGCTAAATGCAAGAAATGACAACAAACTTCCATTTATTTGCTATTATAATATCATATTAAGTCGCTATACCTTTGAGAATCTACCCCGTTATAAAAAGGAATTTTCAATAAAATAAAAAAAAAAAACAATTTCAACCATTTATCTGAAAAGTCACTACTTTATTATTATTATTTTTTTTCAACCATTTATCCGAAAAGCCACTACTTTATTATTATTATTTTTTTCGAAAAACCACTCATATTTCTAACAGTTTTCAAAGAAAATTTCATATATTTTTTTTTAATACATCATATTTAAGAAGAAATATTATTTTTATAACAAAACGTAATTTCGGACCATGGAACAATATTTGTTAACGATTAGAGTGACAATGATTCGTGTTTTGACTTTGAAACTATTAAAGATTTTTTTTTTGTTTCAATCAATCGTTTTGTTTTATTTTGCTTTGTTTTAATCTTCATCCATTTCCTTAACAATGTTGTTAAGCTAAATCTCAACAAAATCACATAACTTCCTAAAACATAATACAAGACGAGGCCAATTTTTAACCTCAACAAACCAACTCCATTAGCCTAACCTAAGACCAACTTATGTGCACAACATGTTGGTTCATTGTCGTGACTAAAGATCCCAACAAAATCGGATCCTTAGCTACCGTTCATTGACTATTTCTCATACATATGTTATTGTTGGAAAAATGTCCATTTTCACAAGTTAATGATATTTCTATAAATAGTAGAGTCGTTTTGGGTTACACACAATATATTATTTAAGCATAAGATGATAAAAGAAAAATTAGAGGGACTACTTTGTTAATTCGTTATGAGATGGTGATTAATTAGAAACTAAAATACTACAAGGGTTTACGTGTAAAGACTTTAATTATTCCTACCCCCTTTCCACTCTTTATATAAAATAGTACAAGGCTTACGTGTAAATAGCTATTTATTTGAATTGGCGGTAATTATATCGCATATCAAGGGATAATTATACGAAGTGAAAGGATAAGAGTTTAAAACCCTTAACCCTAGACGAATCCCATTATAAAACCAGCCACATTTTCCTTTTTCTTCGGGCGTGTTTGTAATTGCTTCTCAAACTCTTTATTGACTTTTTGGAAAAGTCAGGAATTCTTGGCTTTGAAAAAATGATTTTTTTTCACTAAGAGTTAGTATTTACCAGTAACCTATTGTAATTGCTGCAGATTTGGGCTAGACATTTAAGATATTATTGATAATCTCAGCTAAAGATATAGTAGTCATAATGGCTATCCTGTGGATATAAGGAGCGCTTAAATCTAACTTCGTATAAAGGAGTTATGCTTCTTCTAAGTTTCGCGATCAAACCAACATGGCTGTGTGCGTCATGAAAAATGAATCGGAGATCGATTGCTTATTAACTTAAGTAATCTAAACAAAATTCGTAGTAACCATAAAACCGAGAGCATGCATATAGAGAACGTCCAAATCTGACTTCATATAAGGAAGTTATGATTTTTCGAAGTTTCAATACAATTGTATCAGCACAAAAATCGGAATTAAAATCGGTTGATTGTTAGGCAAAACAATCTAAATGAGAGTTGAATATGTTGTGAATAGGAGTCTGTTGATATAAAGACAGGCGATAACGGATTTTGTATGAAAAAATTATGATTTTTATATAGACTTTAATAGTCTAAGTTTGTTAAAAATATAACTTTAAAAATACTATGAGAATTAACCGACAGACCCTAAATGAAAATTTTAGATATCATCGATAGTTGGATATAAAAGAATATCAAAAATAGGACTCGTATGAAGAATATACTAATTTTTGGAAAATTTCCGTCGATGCCAGTCACATATAAGCGCGATGCACGCTTCTAGAAGCTAGCCACATTGAACCAGTATGAGCATGCCACTTGTCGCAAGTGCCGAGGAGCGAAGTCAGCTTTGTGGCACGATGTGCCTCTTGGAAAAGCACGGTGTCGTCCGCCCCTCCCCCACCCATACCCCTAGAAATAGATACCATTTTCTGCTCATTTCACTTACATCCACATCCTTTTCTCTCTTGATCGGTTTTCTTCCTTAGAGATTCAATTTTCTTCTAAACTCAGAATTTTTTTAGTGGGGTTCTAAATCATTAGCGAGCCCGACAAATAGAAGCTATCAGGCTGGAGTTTTGCGAACGCCCAGTGCAATTTCTGACTTTTCGCTAAAATCTCTGTAAGTCAAGCTGCACTTCTCTTAATTCAAGTGTAACTTATATTTATATTCATAGTCATTATTATGAATCTATAAATAAGATTTATCAGTGATTCCATATCATAATACAAATTGATCTACTTACGAGGGTGATGTCCATGCTAGATTTAATGAGGTGTTTAAAGTATGATTTCCAAACACTATACTATGTATACCAAACGGATCCTACCTCTGATATGCTCTTACTTGGTTTCTCCTTACTTGATAGATCTCGATGTAGACATTTGGATTGGTGAGGAATTTAGATTATCATTACTCATAGAGAATATAAGACTAAAACCTAGTAATAATTGTACTTAGGTTACGTCAAAGGAAAAGTTAAGGGTTAGGCGAAGCTCTACCCAAAGCATCAGTCATCCACTTTTAACAAGTTAGTGCATAGTCCCATTCATGAACATGATTTTAATACAAATATTAATTAAAGTATTAAATATCTATTGAACGTTATGTGTAAATTATATGTTGGTTGACTGGAATATGTGTTAGACTATACCAGATACGTTTCTATATGTGATAAGAGATGTATATTCCATGATAATATAAGTATTATTACTAAAAAGATAAATGTATATTAAATGCCTAATACTTTGTGTTGAATATATACACTAGGACTATATAGAGTTGTCTAAACAGAAGTAGGTAGTAAAATTGATTATAAGCCTCATAGTCTTGCCTACTGGTAAGATAAGACTTATTATAGATGCCTAGTTCAATTATGTTTGATATTAGGTAGTCTCATTTACAAAATATGTGTAAGTTAGGAATGGAGAGTATAGTTCTATTCCATGACACTTTCAGGTGTTGGTGGTACGGAATACGTACCTGGGTACAAATAGTATTCCTTTTTGGATGACAAAAAGTAGTGGGTCCGGATCAGATAATTATAATGGTATGTCTGGTCATCTCCCAGAGTAACATGACAACACTTGATCATTCTATACGGTCTTGTGAATTACGTTCCTAGTGTGGGTTACCCACAGACGTAGATGAAATGGGATACCATATTCGTCAAATATTCTAATGGCTCATGTACCTTTTTGACTTTCACCAGACAACGAAACCCCTAGTTGTGTAGTAAAACCCTTATTCTAAAACAGTTTATCTTCATGATAACTGTGGACTAGGATCTGTGAGGATCGATTGGGATGGGTATGATTGGTTTATAAGTATCTAAATTTGAAATATATTGATTGGTAACAATTGGTTTCGCAAGGTTGATAATTAAGGAAAATTATCATAATAATATTATGGGACTGAAATCCCTATGTATCTCACCATGTTTCTTAACCTGACCCATTTCAGTTTGTATGCATCACAGGTATCAAGACTTAAGTTACTGGAACTTGATTAGGATGTTTAGTGATTAAGAGACTCGCTGCAATGGTGTCATGACCATTAGGTCTTTACGTTGTAACTTATATATCTTTATTGATTATGACATCATTAGGATTTTATTTGAGGCAATCGTGTTCTCAAAAGACTTTTATATACTGGGATTTTCAGCAAATGAAGTATCATGATTTTTAAAATTGTAACGACCCGTTTCCGTTATGTTAATTAATTTGATTTGGGCTAAGTTTTCAAGAGGGACTCGGCGAGTTCTAGCCTGACTCGCCGAGTCGGGTCGCGCATCTTGTGCACGCGGGAGCCGGCGACTCGGCGAGTTCATATCCTGGACTCGGCGAGTCCGTCCGTCTGGGTGAAACCCTAACTCCCCGGGTTTGCTCACTATTTAAACCCCATTATAGCCTCCATCTCGTCACTTTCCCCCTGAGAGCACTGTGAGAAACCCTAAACCTTCCTCTTGTGAGCTTATAAGTGATCTTGTTCCATTTTGTGAAGGGGTGAAGAAGGAGAAGAAGAAGGAAGCAAGGAAACGAGTTCTAGTGCCAAGATCCAAGATCAAGTGTGAGCTTATTGAGGTATTTTCGGAGTTCTCTTCTGGTTTCATGCTTAAACTTCCATTAGAGCTCTTTTAAGGGCTATTTGATGCTTGTTCCAAGCTTTATGCTTGCTTGAATGTGTTATTAAGCCGAAATACCTTTGGATCTGAGTGTTGGGGTGTTGTAGAGTCCAGATCCACTGTCTTTTTGGAGTTACATTGCTTATTAGCCATGGATCTACCCTTATTGTGCATATTTTAGTCTTATTTCCCTCATTCATGTGGTTGTGCACGTAAAGTTGGAAACTTTACGTGGTAAAACAGCTTAATGGACCTAGATCTATCATTTGCATGTGTTGGATTCAAGAGAAATCGAGTAAAAATATGTTGCATGGCGGCGACTCGGCGAGTCGGAAGAACGACTCGACGAGTCAGGTCGCGAGTCCCGAGTTCTTCAGTTTCTTCAGTGTCGAGTGGACGAGGTGAGTTAGGGAGTGGACTCAGCGAGTTAAGAGTAGACTCAGTGATGGAGGGACTCGGCGAGTTTGTTCATACAACTCGGCGAGTCCAAGGCAATCTTCTTGAGGATCAAGAACAACTCGTCGAGTCTGTTCATCTGACTCGGCGAGTCGGATGAAGATCATCTGAGTTCTTGGATCCAGAGGGTACTCGTCGAGTCGATGCCACACTCGACGAGTAACAGCATGTAAGAGTTGAGCGGAGAGTCTAGGACTCGGCGAGTCGGGTATCCCGACTCGGCGAGTCAGCCCTGAGTAAGTCAACTTTGACCAAGGGTAAAAGAGTCATTTTACCCTGAGTGTAGTGCTAGTGATTGATTGAGTGTGTTTATGGATTTGTAGCCGAGGAGATTCAGGAGCAGCAGCCGTTAGCTTTCCGAGCCACACACTCATCCGCTAGCTTACGAGGTGAGTTTCCTTCCCGTAGGGGCGGGTCTAAGGCCACAATGCCGGCCCGTCCAGTTAATAGTAGTTTCCGGACTTCGGTCCGATGTAGTAGTTAGTATGTTTGATGCCTTCGTGGTTCAGACATAATTCATGTGTATGTGTTATGTGTTTTATGTTCCGGGTTGCGGCCCGATGCAGTATGCAGTATGTTTGTTATGATATGCTATGCTATGCTCAGTCAGTTCCGGGCTCCGGTCCGATGCAGGGGACACGGTCCCAGTCAGTTCCGGACTTCGGTCCGATGCAGTCAGTTCCGGACTCCGGTCCGATGCAGTCAGTTCCGGACTCGGTCCGATGCAGTCAGTTCCGGACTCCGGTCGATGCAGTCAGTTCCGGACTCCGGTCCGATGCAGTTAGTTCCGGACTTTGGTCCGATGCAGGGGACAAGGTCCCAGTCAGTTCCGGACTTCGGTCCGATGCAGTTTCCGGGCCCCGGCCCGATGCAGTGGGCAAGGCCCAATATGTGTTTATATGTTGTTGTATGGTATGTGGTAAGTTGGGGGAGCTCACTAAGCTTCGTGCTTACAGTTTCAGTTTTGGTTTCAGGTACTTCCGCAAGCAAAGGGAAGAGCTCTGGGTGACGGCATCGCACACACCACCGTTTCAGCTTTAGTCTGGATTTGATTTAGTTGTTGTTTTTGGATATAGTATGTTACAGTTTCCGCACAGTACTTTATTATATTTTGGGGCATATCACGCATGGTTTATTTATATGATACTCTGATTATAGTTTTGATGGTATTAAAAACGAAATTTTTGGGTCGTATTTTTGGGTCGTTTCAAGTTGGTATCAGAGCCCTGGTTTGAGGGATTCGGATACACTCTCGGGTGTATCTGAACTCAAACTAAGGGGAAATAAAAGATTTTTAATAAAATGTTTTTACAAAAGAATTTTGAAAACACTTAGAAGGAAAAGAATTGTTTTAAGATAGAGGTGTGTGCATGCGGTCAACCGAGCTCAAGTAAGTACTCCCAAATTACCCATACAAGTTATTTGTTCAATTTCAGTTTAGTAGAACAGCATGCTAGAATAGGACTAAGGGTGTAGGAGAATGCCTTATGTGCCTGCTTATGTGTTACAGCTCTATGAATATTGCATGCTAGAATTGAGTAGACAGCAGTAGGATAGCCTGTTTAGGTTATGCCTGATAGTATGAGCTTAGCATCCTATGCTAGTGCAGTTTCTTGTTATAAGAATAGCTTGCGTGAGTCTGTTTCCCTTGTCCGAATGCTGCTTGCTTTGTGCTTAGTGGGATTCCGAGTAATGGGAGTTAGCCATTAGGTGGACACGTCACACCACATGTAATCAGGTTTGAATAATCCCAGAGTGCTGGAACTGGCCCTACTGCGCAGCTCTTGTTTGAGTCCAACCGTTGTAGGGACGGATCTTTTACTTGAAGGATTATCCGATCCTCATCACATGTGATGGTGTTCAGGTGATGGCTAACTGGCAGTGCAAGGAGACCTACAGCAGCTGAGGACCAGTCGTATTGAGCTCGAGTTTTCTCTAGGGCAAGCCTAGGGTGAGAGTAGCAGAGAATAGCAGCGGTAGAAGTGACTTGGGGAAGTCGAGGCAGTTCTTGAGGAAAGTACGGATAGATGTGGAAGGTAGTAGGGGCCCATACTACTGGAAGCAGAGGATCCGTACTCGAATCAAGGAAGGCCAAGATTAGACCAGGAAGCTAGTAGTCGTATCATGATCCCTTGAAATATTTCAATGTTCTGATGTTGTTATGATATGTTTCAGAATGGTAGTTTTGCGTCCGAGGCCAGCAGCCGGCAGTTCAGATGCCGGAGGAGGATCAGGATCGGGATCCGACCCGGAGGTCGGACAGATGGATGAGCAGACCAGAGAGTTCCTTTCTTCTGAGATTACTCGCATCATACTTGAGCAGACTCCTGTGATC